TAGAGTGCTAGCCTTGAGCTGAAGATCTGAGGGACAGCGCCCAGGCCCAGAGTTCAGGCCCCACGACTGGACTCCTCCCCCCCCCAAAAAAAGAAAGAAAAAGAAAAGGCAAGAGGACAGCTCTTAACATAGTGGACTATTTACTGTGTATATGAAAATATTTTGTTTATATTATGTATTCATATATATACATATTGTATATTTTTATACACACACATGTATTTGTGAGCCAGTCTCACACCTAAAATCCTAGCTATTTGGAGGCTGAGATATAAGGATTTTGGTTTAAAGCCAGCCCAGGCAGGAAAATCTGAGAGACTCTCTTCTCCAATAAATTACTCAGAAAAGGCCAGAAGTGGCACTGTGGCTGAAGTGGTAGAGAGATAGCCTTGAGCTGAAGAGCTCAGGGACAGTGCTCAGTCCCTAAATTCCAGCCCCAAGATGGGCCAAAAAAAAGTATATATATATATATATATATATATATACTTTTTTTTGGCCCATCTTGGGGCTGGAATTTATATGTATATGTATATATAAATATATGTGTGTATGTATACACACACAAATAAATCTCAGCTTCTTGAACAGGTTAAGGATTATAGTAGTGAGCCATCAAAGCTGGGCTAACATCATGGATTTTTCTATAACATTATTGTATATTTTAGATTATTATAAACAACACTGATACAAACATCCTTAATGTTACAACTCTGCCTAATTTTTCAAATTATTTCCTTTCTAAAAATGCCCAGGGTGAATTTTTTACATATTGATAGTGTCTTCCAGAATTTGTACATCTGGCACAGTGTGTCTGAGTTCTGTTTCCCCATATACACATGAAGATGTTTTCAGTTCCCTATTGGCACTTACTGAAGTTACTACATGCTCATAGTTCTAAACTTTTGCAAAACTTGTATTCTAAATGGCGAACCTTACAATACATGTGGGTCATGGAGTGACAGGTAGACCAGCAAAACGTTTTAAATAAAATAATCCATAGGTGGGAAGGATATTATAGTCACCATTTTTTGTTGTTAATTTAACTTTTGAATCTTCCACTTCGTCAGGAAAAGTCTTCTTCCAGCAGACAAATGGAATATACTCTCCTTTTGATGTCTTTAGATTTTTTTCCAAAAATGATTCAAACTCCTCTTTTTCTTTTTTCTTTTCTTTTTTCCAGTTCTATGGCTTGAACTCAGGGCCTGGAACTCTCATTTAGCTTTTTGCTCAGGACTGGCACTCTATCATTTGAGCCACAGCTCCACTTTCAGCTTTTTGCTGATTAATTGAGCTGGCTTTAAACCTTTACCCTGAGACCTCTCTCAACCTCCTGAGCAGTTGAGAAATTACACTCAATATACTTTATTAGTACTTCTGTTGTAGGTCATACTATAAAGTAATATATTATTTTTTATCTGACTCTCTCAAGTCATTGTGTATGCTTGTAAATAAAGACATCTCGTGGACAGCACTACACACAGGTCCTAACGTATAGTGGCATGTTCGTTGCATGAGTGGATAGATTTTTAAAAATCGAAAGAATAGATTGTGCTTTTTATTTCTGTGATCTGTGAATTTTTCATGATTCTTAGGATTAAGGTATAGAAGAAAACACATCAGGTCTATGGTCCTAGTTCTCTTGGAAGTTTGAAACCAGCTGAAGAAAACATGAGGCACCTACAGAGAAAAGGATTGGGGTATATTAGAAGCTTTATCTCAATGCATATGATCTATGGGCAAGAATACCTGTTTTCCTGCCTGCATGGTCAGAATGTCACTAAAGAAGTAGCACTTGCTAAGTTCTCTGAAGAAGGTATACTAGCAGATTCCTATACTGTTTGTCTAGGCTGGCTTTCTATCAAGATCCTCAGATTTCAGCCTCCTGAGTAGAAAGGATTACACACATGAGCCAGTGGAACCCAGTTTAATTCAAGGAATTTCAACAAAACATGTGTTGTTAGTTTTACATGAATAGCAGGGCTTTAAAAACTTTCTCTCCTAGTAAAGACAGGGCTCTATCTCAAAATATGTATTAGAAGGCATGAAGGTGTCATATCACTGTTCTGATGCACAATGAGGAAGTCAACCTTAAGGAAAGGTTAGTAAAGAGATTAAACATTTTCTACGTTTCTGTTTGTTTGTTTTTTTATATATTGACACTGGAATGTGAATTCAGGGCCTCAGGCTTGGCTTCTTTGCTCATGGCTGGCTCCAGTTTCAACTTCCTGTCTTGACATCATCAGATTGGGTCTTGTGTTTACCCTCCACATGGACTCTGATGCACTCCAAGAAATCTGAGGATTTCTGTACCAGTCACACATTTTAGCATATTGTAGGGACAGGATCAGGACCCTTTGTATTGGAGCAGAATCACTGATGTAAAACAATGAAACTGCTACTTTCAGAAGAACAATTTAAAAATACACCTGGAGAGTGACATGTTATTCTTACAGGTGCTCTTCGATCTGAGCTACACCTCCACTTGTAGCTTTTCAGTGGTTAATGAAGTTAGGAACCACAAAGACTTTCCTGCCTGAGCTCGCTTCAAACCTTGGTCCTCAGATCTCAGTCTCCTGAGTAGCGAAGGTTTCATGCATGAGCCATTGGAGCCCAGTGACACTATGTAATTGTACCAGAACAGATACAATGAAACTGTCACTGGCAAACAGTGTTGTATTGTCACATCTAATTAGCAAACTGGTGCTGATTTTAAAAATTTTGTTATTATAAAGGCGATGTACAGAGCAGTTACAGTTACATAAGTCAGGTAGAGGGTACATTTCTTTTTGAACAATGTCACTCTTTCCCTTGCTCTCGCCCAATTTTTGTCTCCCATCCCCACCCACAGTTGCATAGCTAATTTTCAACATATTATCTAGTGAGTACCACTGCTGTATTTGTTCACCCTTTGTCTCCCCATTTCTGTGCCCCTCCTTACATTCCCAAAGAGAGATAAATGAACAAACAAGACAAAAGGAAAAGAAAACAAAAACAACAACAGAAAGAAAAATCCTCATTTCCATTTCCTGGAACTCCTTTTGATAAATATTATTTTATATGATCAGAGGCATATAAGCGTTGCACCTTTGTGTTTCTTTCCTAAGAGTATCCTTCTTTGGTTGCACTGGGTATGAATGCCTAGAGTCCTATATAATCGTATCTCAGTATGTTTAAGATCTAGCTTCTGAATATGAGAGGAAACATTGGTACTGATTTTTATGCCAGAAAACTGTGCTGTTTTTAAAATATCGCTGGTGGGTGCTAGTGGCTCACATCTACAAACCTAGTCACCCAGGAGTCTGAGATTAGAGAATCTATGTTCAGCTTTATACCAGGCAGACAACTTGTTGGCAGTCTTTTGTTGTTGTTGTTGTTATTGTTTGTAGGGCTTGAACTCAGGGCCTAGAAGCTGTCACTGACTTTTGTACTCAAGGCTAGTTAGTGCTCTACCACTTTGAGCCACAGTGCCACTTCTGGTTCTCATAGGCTTTCCTTCCTGGGCTGCCTTCCAATAGCTATCCTCAGATCTCAGCCTCCTGAATAGCTAAGATTACAGGCATGAGCCAGTGCCTAGGTCCTTGATGCTCTTGTCTCTAAATAACTAACAAAAATCTATAAGCAGAAAGGCATAGGAATAATGCTAGTTGACAGTCATAAAGCTTATCGAAAGCTGGAGACCCTGCGTTCAAGTCTCAGCATTGGAAAAATAAAATAATAAAATACATCCCTACTCCTTTAGACAAAAAGATGAAATGTAAATGTGTAGAAAGAAGTCTATAAAAATTCCTGTTTCTATATTTTAACCATAATGATTATTAATATAGTGCATGTTTGTGTACCACACACATATGCTGGTCCTAGGGCTTGAATTCAAGGCCTGCATATTGTCCCTGAGCTTTTTTATTTCAAAGCTAGCACCCTACCACTTGTCCTACAGCTCCAATTCCAGCTTTTTTGTCATTAATTCATAATTTGAATCTCACTGACAAGTCTCAGCCTTGAAGCCCAAGCAGACTTCAAACCATGATCCTTAGATTCAGCCTCCTGAGCCTGTTTATTAATTTGTAGTAGTATCTCTTTTCCTAGCCATGTATATATTTAAATAAAAATTGAACTACATTATAATATTGTATAAATTGCTTGTTAATGTCTTTGTATGTCAATATCATTTTTTTTCATGCCAGTCCTGGGGCTTGAACTCAGGGCCTGGGTGCTATCCCTTAGCTTCATTTGCTCAAGGCTGGCATTCTACTACTTATTCCACAGAGCCACTTCTGACTTTATCGTGGTGAAGTGGAGATAAGAGTCTCATAGACTTTCTTTCCCCAGGCTAGCTTCAAACATCAATCCTCAGATCTCACCCTCTGACTAGCTAAGATTACAGGCATGAGCCACCAGTGGCCAGCTATGTCAATATCACTTATAATCATTATTTCCTAATTTGTTTATGAGCTGTAATTTAATAATCCCTATTTATGGAGATTTAGACTGTTTCCACTTTTGTTAATTGTCTTTAAAAGACCATTGTCTTTCCTGCAATATTTTTTCTTGTGAAATAAATGTAGGGAAGTAGAGAAGATTTGTACCTAAGATCATACTCTCAGAAACCTCTACAGGCCAGGCACCCATGGTTCACTCCTATAATCCTAGCTACTCAGAGGCTGAGATCTGAGAATGACAGTTTGAAGTCAGCTGAAGCAGAAATGTCTGTGAGACTCTTATCTCCAATTAACAAAAACCTGGAACTAATGCTATGGCTCAAGTGATTCAGTGTTAGCCTTGAAAACAAAAGCTCAGGAGCAGTGCCCAGGCCCAGAGTTCAAGCCCCAGGACCCGGAGGAGGGGGAAGAAAAAGGGGGAAGCTCTGGCTTTGCAAACACAATGTAAGCTACATACTTCTTGCTTTTCTCTGATTGTGGAGTTTCCTGCTTGGGCTGTCTTTGAGAGTACTGAGGATTATAGACATAAACCACTGGCACCCAGCTATAAGAACATTTTGAAAAAAATTCTTATGGAATGCTTCACAAATGTGTATAATCCTTGCTCAGGGGCCATGTTAATCTTCTTTAAATTGTTCCAATTTTAGTAAATGTACTACCAAAGTGAGCACTTGAAAAAAACTTTTTCCCAGTCCTAGGGCCTGGGTGCTGTACCTAAGACTCTGTGCTCAAGGCTAGTGCTCTACCACTCGAGCCACACCACCATTTCCAGATTTTTCTGTATAGTTTATTGGAGATAAGGGTCTCACAGACTTTTCTGCTGGGGCTAGGTTCAAACCGCTATCTTCAAATCTCAGCCTCCTGAGTAACTAGGATTACAGGTGTGAGCCACAGGCACCTGGCCAAACTTTTTAAATTAACAGTATCATATTAACTGTAGAAATTCAGAAAATTGTTTTAAGGATTACAACAAAGAAGCTAACAATGAACATTTTATGTCTTTTATAGAATTTTCTATACACATACACATCTTCTATACATATATACATTCTATGCATATATTTGTATACATACAAATATGTGTATGTGTATATACACATATATGTATCTATATATAGATATATGTATCTATGTATATCTCCATCTATATATGTGTATAGATGCATATATGTATGAATCTATGTGTGTGTGTGTATATATATATATATATATACATACATCAGTTTGAAACCAACCCTAGTCAGAAAAGTCTGAGACTCTTATCTCCAATTAACCATCAAGGAAATCTGGAAGTGGACGTGTGGCTCAAGTGATAGAGTGCCAGGCTTGAGTGAAAAAAGTCAAGCAAGAGTGAGTCCCATTGTTACCAGAATGTTGGAAAAATTTATTTCATTACCTTTTAGATTTCATAAAGTGCAGTGTATATAATGCCTAAACAAAGACTGTAAGATAATTGAAATTTTCTTTCAAGCAAAGTATAAAAAATATATTGAGCCTGTAAATTGCTCTGTGAAAAAAAAAAAAGAGTGAGTCCCAATGCCTATTCGAAATAATGAACAAACAAAAACCATGATGTCTTAGAAATCTATTTATGGAATAGAAGCATGTCCATGATGAGTTCTTAAAAGTCAATATGTAAGTTGAATGTATGGAAGTCTCAATTATTTTCTTTTATATTTATATACACAAATAAATTTATTTGTATTTCAGTCAAATGCTTACATACTTTAATTTTCTAATATATAAAATACATTCCAATGTGCTTATACAGTGTCAGCTTGTAGATATGAATTTCTGCTTTTGTATATAGTTTAGTTTATATATGTTTTTATATACTCTTCTATGATTATATAAATATATGCTCCTAGATTTAAGATAGGATTATGTTCCATTAAATTCATCATGAGTTGAAAATGCATCACAAGTGGAAAATTCATTTCCTACACAAAGCTATTGTACATCATGGCTGACCAGCACTGTACATAGCAATCTGGCTCTGGCTTTGTTTCTGTGAGGTTCTGACTGACCAGGGCTAAGCTTACTGCTACTGCCCAGCATTACACATGACAGCCACACCACACATTACTAATCTGGAAAAAGATAAAAATTCAAAATAGAATCTCTACTAAATATATATTGACTTTCTACCACCTGAAAGACGAAAAATGCTGACTTAAATCATGTTAGACAGATGTCTGTACATACTTACGTGAACTTAGAAAGACTAACATTTATCAGTGATTTCTCTGGCCAAAAGGCAGTCAGAGAAAAACATTATGTCTTCTCTAAGCAAAAACAAAACAACACACACACACACACACACACACACACACACACACACGCACGCACGCACACGCACACACACACACACACAAGCCAAGCCCATTCCCTTTCTGTAACAGCATTAATTTACTCATGATGGCAGTGTTCACAACTAGACACCTCCTGCTAGAGTCCATCTCCCAACACATTGTGGGTTAAGTTTTTAACACAGATACAGCTGTGTAGTAAATAGGAAAAATCTTTCTGGTTTTGTTTTTTGTGTTTGTTCTTGTTTTTTGGTACCAGTACTGGGGTTTGAACTTAAGGCCTTATACACGGACTCACATGGCTTTATAATAGCTCAAGGTTGATGCTCTATCACTTGAACCACACTTCCTCTTTTAGGAACATCTTTATCCATACCATAAAAAAAATAATTCTGTTAAGATTACCGAAAAAAAATCTAGGGGTTAGATCATCTTTTACAAGAGGATGTATTATACTAGTAAATAAAACAAAAATGAAAGTTTACAGCCCATTTGTTGATAGGAACTAACAATCTAATCATTTGTTTAAATTTGGTAAAACAGAAAAGATCTCAGAGTGTGACCAATACTTAAAAATTTGATTACTTCTTTATATAGGAGCAGTATCACTAACAGCTGGGGTAAACTTTTGCAGTTTTACACAATATTTCTTTGGGAGGAGTATTGTTATTTTGTTTGTTGTTGTTGTTTGTTGTTGTTTTGAACAGTGTCTTGCGCTGTAGCCCAGACTGGCCTCAAACTCATCATCCTCCTGCCTCAGACCCCAGAGGGCTATGAATAAAGGTATGAGCCACTATACCCAGTTGAATAACATTTTTATAGATGTTATTAAATATATGACATCCTCAGTTCTCCTTTGAGGAATCTTCTTATTTTTTAATAATATCAATAGCTTTAGGCTATAGACTTATTTTCTGTTATTCAGTCCTACACACTCCACAAGGAAAACCATGTTTGTATTAATGGATTTAACCATTGCTTTTAGAGCTTTGGAGATTCACCATAAAGAATTTCATATTGATATTTGAAACTTTCCATGAAACTCATTACATCTTAATACATTTAATTATCACTATACAGCAAGTTGCTAAGTCTTACAAATAGTGAATAATTAATAATAATAATTTTAATTCCTTGGTCTTTCTATAATCATTTACCCAAGAATCCTAACCTAGTCTTTGTTCCCTTTAGTATAGTCCAATAAGTCAGTCATATTCAAGTTTAAAATTCCTTTTTAGTCAGGCTCCTTCTGCCCTAATCTCGAAACCATGTTTAAATATGCTGAGCATGAAATTTTACCTAATCCCCATTTCATCTGTTGAGTTCTATCTCTGTCTCTTATGGTTTCCCAACATACCTGTTTTCTGTACATTATTGGATGCTACACAAACAACTTAGAGTCTTTTAGTTATAAAATAGTTTTCTTACAATGAAATCCTTTGCTATTTTTATAAGCATAGGCCTTTTCCTGCAGGTCAGCTTCAAACAAATACTATAAAATCATCAGCAAAGCTGGTAAGCATGTTTACTTGGAAAGACTAATAAGATCCTAATTTTGGAATCCTGATCTTTTGGCATCTCTGAATATGGAAGATGACGTGAGAAATGAGCTCATAACAGTGTGCTCAAATCTTCTCTGGGTCTAGCACACTGTTGTGAATGTACTAGGGCTCAACAAAGGTGTCTACCATCCCCACCCTGATCATCATCCACTAGCCAGCCAACTGTTTTGATATTTCTGATCTCTATACCTGGCACTTACTAGAGTAGACAGGAATAGTAACTGCTAAGGAAGGCTGAATTCAAAGTCTTCTGTGTCTACTGAATTATACTTTAGCAGTTATAGAATTTAATGCCTTGATTATAATGAATGAATTAATTGATTAATTTAATTAAACCAGAACTTTAAACCAGAACTTCTGATGCTCTTTACCTATTATATAAGAGTGCTTATTACTAAGGATAGTTTATTAAATGAATGAATCTTCTCTTTCACTCTCAATCCTGGTTTCCATTTTCATCACCAAAATGAATCAAAAGGAAGTTGTGAAGAGGGTGGACATAAAAGTCAGTTTCAGAAAATATAGTCTATTGCTGGGCAAAATTTTGCCTCAAGACTCAATGTAATCCACAATAACTATGCTTTCACAGTGACAACTGGGGGATATTTCGGTAAAATGTTACATTGAGCTACAGTGGACCTTTATTTTTTTTAGGTGTTGGTACTGGGACTTGAACTCAGGGCCTGGAAGCTATCCACTAGCTTTTTCACTGAATGAATAGTGTTCTACCACTTGAGCTACAGCTCTGCTCCTGGCTTTTTGATGGCCAAGTAGAGACAAGAATCTCATGGACATTCCTATCTGAGCTGGCTTTGAACTGCGTTCCTCAGATCTTGGCTTCTTGAGTATCTAGGATTAGGTTTGAGCCACCTAGGTATGTATGGCTCCTTCACACTTTTTGTCATTTTAACATAAATATCTACTGCTATATATTTTTTATCAAAATTCTTACCGAAATAATTAGTATACATGTAGGAAAATCTTATCAGATGAGCTGAAAAGCTCAAAAGCTATGTACATATGTCCATATCAGATGATGCTAAGTGAAATGAACCCCGAGATATGGACACAAGAGGACTGTCTTTGTTGTTAATTGTTTTAAATGTTCTATGTGATTTTTTTTGTTTCCTTGTATGTTATCTTCCCCATGGTATATCCTCTGTTGTCACTGTATTTGATTTTGGTACCTTGCATCTTGTATATACATTTGTCTAATCTGGGGAAGGGAAGGGGAATAACAAAACACTGAAAGAAGGACACAGGATGACCCATAGCAACAATGATACCCACAGGACAGTATATTGGAAACAAACTTTACAACTTTGGGGGGGGGGGGGGAGTGGGAGAGGTGGAGGAGGGACAACAACAAAGGAAGTAGTTACAATGATTGACAAGTAACGTACACATTGCCTTACTTATGTAACGGTAACCCCTCTGTATAGCATCTTTCAAAATAAAAATTTTTAAAAAGAATATGGAAAATTTAAAAAAAAACTCTTGCCCAAAATGAGGCGTTGAACTCACACAAGTGGTACCAGCCTTGTGTAAAAAAGCCAAGCAAGAAAGTGAGACCCTGAGTTCAAGCCCCAGTACTAGCACAAATAAACACATAAATAAACAAATCAGAAAATAAAGCAGCCAAGCTCAGGTTGCTCATGCCTACAATCTTACCTGTTTAGGAGGCTGAGATCTGAGAACTGCTGTCTAAAGACAACCCTGGGCAAAAAGATCTGTAAGATTCTTATCTCTAAGAGACTATCAAAAAAGCCAGAAGTAGCTCTGCCAGTAGAACATTGGCCT